AAGCTCATTAAAAATATTACGCTATTTTATTATTCTTATGACTAATAAGCTTAATTTAGTAAAATACTAAATTGAGGTAACAAAATATTACACAGCAAGATCCTACTAAGTAACCTTTAAAATTTTTAATACCCCTCCATAAATATTAAAATTTTATTAGTAATTGATTTGAGTACAATAATAATAAATAATATAAATTACTTTTTACCTAAAAATGCAAATAGTATTAACATAAATCTTTAGAACGTATGAGGAATAAATGTTTATTTTAATTAAATAATTGAAATTGTGGTATTGTAACAACATTACTATGATTTTCAGTTTGAAAATAGAAAAAGCAATGTTAAAAGTTAGATGTAGAAATAAATAAAAATAATGTCGTAGTTATTTCAAGGCAGAGTAGAAATCAGAACGAATATGCTTAAAGAGTTTCACGCTTATGAATTTTGAGCATTATTAATCCAGAAACGTTAGAACACAACTGGAAATAGATAAAATAGATCAAAGTGAGTAAGAGAAATAGAAGTCCATCATTGGGATATAAATATTCAAAACGAATTCATAGCTAATGTAATTTATCACACACGTATAACTACTGGAGGGTAAAAATATATTAAGTTCATTATTTAATTTAAGGCAATTTTATATAATATCTATGAAAATAAAAATTTAAACACCAATTCCAGGAAAACTATAAAGTTATTTTATTCAATGTAACCATCTTTTAGACAAAATTGTAATAATATTTATTAATAACATGAGTTTTATATTATAAAATTAAAAGTGTTTTAAAATGTTTTCCTTAAGGTAGTCTCATTTATTAAAGTAATTTATATGACTGAACTAATATACTGACTAATTTAAATATATTAAATTCTCTTTACATATTTCGAGTAATAGTAAATTAGATTAAATGAAAAAAAAAACTCAAAATATTTAAATTTTCTCATTTTTAATTTACCCATATCTAATTTCTGCTTAAATTATTCTTGGAAATATAGATAATTTTCTAAATTAAAAGTAATTTTCATTTCCTACATTATTCATTTACGAAGTTTTTTAAATTATATTTTTGAAATTGAAAACATGTTTTCAGATCGTAATCTAAATAAAAACCTAAATAACTTAAATTAAGATTTCAAACTTTTTATTACTAGTGTTTATTAAGCTCGATGCTATTTGAGCGAAATGTATTAAATTTCTTAAGTCAAACATTCAGTCAGTAAAAATGGAATGAAATTAAAAAAAAGGTACCTGGATATTTTCTTTAAATTTATTAGCGTTTTTTCACTCAGACAACTTATTTATAAAAATTAATTTATTACGTAGTATTGTAAAAATAGATTTGAATATAGTACCTTAAATTTTAGAATAAAAAGAAAATTGAAACTAAGTGATTGATTCAAGTGCGTTACTTTCATGTTTTATGTAGTTCATGTCTTAATGACAACAAAAAATTAGTGATAGTTATTTTTGCCTCATTTCTTTTCATGCAATTTTGTTAATGTAGAACTTAAAATCCAAAATTAATCTTCAAAAATCAACCATTAAAAACAATAAAATATTATAAATAATAAAATACAGAAATAATAAAATATAGAACAAAAAATTATAAGAAGTAATAAATAGAATAAGTGTGATTAATGTATTAAGACTAGTTATCATTTACGATAGTTTTAATTTTAGGTNAAAAATTAATTTATTACGTAGTATTGTAAGAATAGATTTGAATATAGTACCTCAAATTTTAGCGTAAAAGGAAAATTGAATCTAAGTGATTGATTCGGTTGCGTTACTTTCATGTTTTGTGTAGTTCATGTTTTAATGACAGCAAAAAATTAGTGATAGTTATTTTTGCTTCATATATTTTTATGCAATTTTGTTAATGTGGAACTTAAAATCTAAAATTAATCTTCAAAACCATTAAAAAACAATAAAATATTATAAATAATATAATATGGAAATAATAAAATATAGAACAAAAAATAATAAGATGTAATAAAAAATAGAATAAGTGTGATTAATGTATTATGAGTAGTAAAGAAGGTTAATTTCAAATTAAGCCTCGTCAATTAGGATTTTTTATCCGTATTTGTAAATACATAAATGCAACAGAAAGCAAACAATAGAAAAATTGTCTTTTACTCCTATAAATAATCAAAATCATATGAGTTGCCTCTGGTGGTTATAATTTATACTACAGGCAATTTTTTGTTCTATTTTTATAGATATTTTGCTGTTACATCTTCATATTCAGAAGAAAAAAATTTGTAAACTATTATTTTAACTTACTGTAGACCTTAGATATTCATTCATTAGGAATTTTTTAAATTTCTCAGCATTAAATTTCTCAGATACTCGAATAAATATCGAAAAAAGGGACGATGAATTTTATTAAAATATTCTAGAGATAGTTTGAATGAGATAAAAACTTTCTTCCATAAAGATTTTGACGAAGTTTATATTTACTTACGTATTTTAATTAATGTGGCCAAATCTTGAAATCGAGAGATCAGATATCAAGAATATTTTTTTTAAAATTTTTAACGGATTCACTATTTTGATAATAGGAAAAATTCGATTAAGATAAATACATTTTTCGCTAGTCTTCAATTTCACGCAATACTTTTTCCAAATCAAAATTTATAATTTTTATTAGTTTTAGAGTTTTATTTATTTTCAATGTTTCCTACATTAATTATACGAACCATTTATTTCTCTTGCTATTATTAGGAGAACGCAATGTGTAGATGAAATTTACTAGAATAATCCCTTTTTCAGACATTGTACAATTTCACATTGTTCAGTCCAGATATTGTGCAATTTTAAGAACATTGTAGAATATTAAATTAGAAATCTAATGTTTATTAAAAATTTGTGATGATTGGGAGGATACTTAAAGGGAAACAGAACAGTGAAATTTTTAAGAAATGAAAATGAAGCTAATCGCATTTTTCAATATTTTATCTTTTGAAGATTATTGTACCAAAATATTGAATTCATTTTCATAAAAATGCAAAAGTTGCAGCATATGTCCAGCTTTACGCTCCACGTGCTGGAATGGACAAGTGAATGTAAGCTGATCAATGGATTTGCTTACTCTTAGCAAAACATTTTAATTAAATACGATCGTTTATATAATTCCATTGAAATAATTTGTTTAAATTATGTAAGAAAAGGAATTAATGATACTTTCAATCGAAATAATTAAACCTATTTAGCTGTAATAATTTTAATGAAGGTTGCAAAGGGTTATTGATAGTTTTATAACAATTAGCAAAGAATTTAGGCCCAAGAATCAAAGAATATGCTAAAAAATTAAGATGATCGCTTAATTTCGGCTGTAATTCTTAAAACACACGAGGCTTCCAGTTGAGGATAGATTAAAAGAAAGAGTTAGACTAGCATTTAAGACTTTTGAAAATAATAGAGAAGAAGCATCATATGAACCGGTATTGATAATTCTTAGTTGCAATTATTTTTTAATATTTATATAGATTATTAATAACTAAACCTTTAATGCTATTTAATCGCAACAATGTTTCTCTTTCTTGCTGTATCTCTAACTAGCACATTTTTAACTGATTTTTTTTTATTTTGGTACTATGTTCACAATAAATATAGTTTTCGCAGCAAGTGTGGATTTTTTAATTGGATTGACTGGCTTTAATAAATGAAAAAATGTAAATTATTTTAGTTCAATTTCTCTTCAAAACACTATCATTTAGTGAAATTTTTTTTTAAAAGATCCAAGTGAAATGAAAACTACATTTATGTAATTTAAATTAATCAAAACGTAATCAAATTAGGATGGTTTGTTTTTATCAACAAGTACAACAATTTAAGGATAATTTAAAAACTAAGTTATAAACATTGTATTATATAAGAGCTAATTATCAAAATGTTTGCATTTTAAATATAATTAAAATGATGATTTAAGTATGTACAATAAGATAAAAAATGCACAAGTTAAGTTATCTCAATCATTCGTAAAAAAAATCCTTTTTTACAGGATTCCACTGTGTTGCTCTTTCTGAAATGATAAATGAGGTTACAGTATTAAAATATTAGAAGAGGAACTTGATCAAATCGGCTAATTAAGATACAGTGTAAGATTATTTATTAAATCTAGGACTGGAATGAAGCATGAAATAATTAGAGCTATTTTATGTTAGGGAAAGTAACTTAAGGGTTAATTCAATTAGCAGACCTTAATAGCCTTAAGTAAGCAGCTCATAAAGAATTCCAATTTGAAAGCGTAACTCTGCTGATCAGCCATAAAGATTATAAATTTCAACTAATTTTAATTGTTCCAAAAAATGCGTAATTTTATATTGAAAGACAAAAAAAAGCAAAAGATTCCGAAAAATAATTTACAATTTAAGTGAAAGTAGATAAAATAGTTGCTAAAAGTCATAAGTTGCTAAAAAATCAAAACACATAATATAAAATTGAAATAAATTTACTGAAATAGTTTTAGTTGTAATTTCCTTTAAAGTTAACCTAATGTTTAAAGATATTTGAATTAACAACTTCAAAAAAAGTTTTAATTGAGACAGTCTACAATTAAAGAAAAAATTCTAGCTGAAATAAATCATTAAATGGAACGAAAGTTTGAACGTTTCAAAATATGATTTTATTAAATATAAATGCCTGTAAAGAAAGCTTAACATAGTCTAAATTATTTTGGTATTTTTTTCCTTACTTCCGCACAACACGATAACTGCTTTCTTGCTTAAATTTACTTTTTATTCACAAAAAAAATCTTCAACGAAATTAGTCATCCCTTAATAAATTGAGGGTTGGGATATTCTTATCTAAAAATTTTTTTTTTAATTTTAAAATCAGCAATGAATATACCCAGTTGTTTAAAATAAGTAGGAAATTTTTTGCAGATAATTAATATTTGATATTAAAAAAACCGCAATTTGCGAAAAAATAAATAATAGATATAAGCAAAGGAAATAAATTTATAGGAATAAATAAATAGATATAAATAAAAAACGAACTGTTGCAACCCAAGAATAATTTATTTTACGCAGTATATACTTGATTTAAATATCATTTCGTATAAGTTGTTTTAAGCACCTTAAACCACTTGGTAAAACAATATTTTCTTTCCGTCAAGTACTCTAAAGCAGGGAGGCAATGTTCGCTCTGTTTTGTGTTATTTGCAATTGTTTTCTACTTGTCTTTAATTTGACAAGAGCTTATTGAAGACTAAAATTTTTTTTCAGATAGATGAATAAATTTATTCTGCTATCAAATAGAACAAAGATCTACTATTATAATGTGAGAGTTACTGTTCAATTGTTTATTTCAATATTTCTTAAAAATCGCAGGGTCAATTCTAAAATTTCCAGAAAATTTTGAATTTCTTGTGAAAAGGCAAACTTCCTTATAAAAAAATAATTTTTTTCGTCGTAGTTAACGTTGAATTTGTTTTACGATATCAACCTAGCTTATCAATGAAAATTAAAAAAATCTATGCATGAAAGTCCAATGATTCGATTTAAAATATTTAATTTCCTTTTCAGAATCCTTTCTGGAATTTTTTAGAGGTGTAAAACTTGTAATATGCATAGTTTGTTGCTTAGTCAACACAACATCTGTAAAATTCACCTTTAACAAAACTCGAAAAAGATTTTAATGTGGCGAAATAATAAATAAAACAATTAAAATAATATTAAACGATATATGCTTTGTTTTGTACTAGCTGAAAAGATTAAAAATAAATTTTTATTACAAGGTGTAGACATAAAATTATAAAAAATGTATATTTTGTAATCTTTTAATAAATAATAAAATAACATCTTTCGTAAAAGCTTAATTAAAGAGATAGCTTAAACATGAGTAAGTAGAATGAAGATAGCTAGTACTCATAATATTTCAATATTCGTACATCTGGATTAACATGTAGGAATCTAAAATTATTTCTGTGGTTTAATTCAAAAGTAAATCAATGTCGTTGTATCTACCCAAAAAAACTTTAAAGAAAATATTTAAGTTTTTATCTTTATTTGATCTAATAGAACACGTTGCCGTAGAAATCTATACTTATTCAACAATAAACTTTATTACGTAACCGTAATTTATATAATGATGCAAATACTATCATAAAATACAAAAAAGACAATGGTACGATGAACTAACAGATAATTTCCTCAGGGTTGCAGGATTAAAATAGACATTCTGTTTAAAGAACTTCACATCTAGAAATTGATTGTTTTTGAATTAGTCCACAGATTTAAGCTATTTGAAAGAAAGAAATTAATCTGTTTGTTATTTACTATTAACTATTGGTAATATATCCAGATAATATTTCTATATCCCAGAAAAATCGTTTCAACTTTCATGAAACATAATATGAGGTAAATTTGCAGTAAATCTTAATAAAATGTTAAGTAGAACGATGTTTCCATATAAGTTGGATCACCGCAGCATGAATTACAAGTACGATAACACAGTTAAACTTAACATCAAATTTAAATTTAAGCAAATTTGCACAGTAATAAGGTTTAACACGTTCCAAAATTTCTAAGAATGTATCTGTTTGTATTTTTTTAAACACGTGAAAAAAGTATTAGATTAAGATATTTTAATGATCTAATGAACAGCATTAAGTAGCACGGATTTCTTGAACCATTTCTAAAAACACTTTAATTTATGTTAATCGGAGAATCCAATAATAAGAAACTTAATTTATCTTTGCACCATCTATTGCAAAGAACGAACGAGTAGGTATCTCACTTTTGGACGTTTTCTTAGAAAATTACAACTTTTTGTTAAAAGCTGCCAGCTCTTTCTACTTTTAAAATCCATGTGACGTTTTAAGTAAATCGTAATCCCCGTCGATGCAAGGGCACTATCACCAAGAAGGATAAGGAAGACACCACGGTAATAACAAAGAAAATCCAAAAGAGGATTCTGTCTATGACCAGCGCCATCTGCCTCCATTCGTTGACAACTCTTATTCGATGGTCTTCTTGTTCCTGCCTGTATAATAAATACTGAAGTGTTCTTAAGATCTCTTCCTGAATTTTAGTTCCGGGAGCTCCGCTGGAACCCATTGGTGAAGAACCGTTTGCTTGACCCTTATTAGTTGTAATGCCATGAGATCGACGCTTGTTGGAAGACATGTCTGTGCTGTTGTTACTTTCGTTGCAGGATAGCTCTGGATTCATCTCTTTTAGCTCTTCGTGCAGGCTGTCAATAGTCATTCGGAAAGTGTCCCCCTGTAGAATTAAAAAATAAAAAGTTACTATAATGGTTATTATTACTTTTACTAAGGATATAGGTCATGTAAGGATTTTGTTGCTTTTTCAGGAATTTAGTTGGTTCTGATTTCATTTTAACTGCACTCTAGTTGGTTCTGATTTCATTTTAACTGCAGCAAAATTGCATTCTGGTAATGTTTCAAAGACAAAAAAATGCATGTTGTAATGTTTCAAAGACAAAAAGATGCATCTTATAATGCTTCAACGACGATCTTGTAATGTTTCTAAGACCGAATGTAACTGTGATATAATTTTTTCTGTCAGAAATGACTTTTCTGCCAAATTTACTTTTTTGTGGTAAATCATGTTTCTGTTTGTGCAAATTTTTACGTAGTAATAAAAGGTAACTGTTAGGACACTTTTTCTCTAAATTTCATGTTAATATGAATCGTTTTAAAATTGCATTTAGAAAACAAGTTGTTCCTTAACTTTTGAATGGCGACATATTTCAAATTAAAAGAAAACTGTTTTGTGAGTGAAAAATTTTCATAAATTTAAAATGCATTTGGTGATGTTAAGTCCACTTTTAAGTATCCTATTTTGTATAGCTCTTTGCATCGACTTTGAAACCAACAGATTTAAATATTTTTCAAGACAGTCTTATAATGTTAACATATTTAAACATAAGACAAAACGCAGTATGCTATTGATTGTATCATTTTTTTTCTTTTCAAATTATCTAAATCAACAATACAATCTAGCAGAAATATTTTTATATTATTTTTGAATTACTTTTTATTACTTGCTAATTAGATGGAAACGATGGTTTAATATTGACTGTTTAAAAAAAGTCTAGGATACTTTTTCCTACCGAGTTTGTAAGAACAAGCAATAAAATTATATTAACAATATTTCATATTATTATCCTCTAAATAATTTTGAATATTAAATTTTCAAAACTCGTAGAAATTTAAGTGTGTCCAGATAAATGACAGTCTGGAAATTCTTTCTTGTTTTAATGTACTCCTAATTATTAAAAACATCAAATATTGCGAACTAGTTAACCATTAAGTTTTTAAATTTAGTAAAAACCATTTTCAAATCCATTTTTTTTATTGTAATTTTTATAAAAATATCTATTGGATACTTATGGGTGTTGGTAGTTTTCTTCATGGAAATTCGCATCGAACTATAGATTTTTTCGGCTAGTAATCAATATAATAAATGATAATGTAATATTTATTAAATATTATGTAATATGTAATATTCATTAAAATATGTAATATAATATGTAATAATGTAAAATTAATATTAATATATATGTAATATAATATGTAATCTAATAGGGGAAGCTTGGGCAAGATGGGACCACCGGGCAAGACGGAACATCGCTTTTTTTTCTATGCGCATTCACGGTAGCGTTTTCGGAAAGAAAATATTATTGTTCTCAATACGCACAAGTTTTTTCATCAGTTCACAAAGTGTTACTGAAATGCAAGCATTGTTTTGTTTTTCTTACATCGTGTTAAAATATTTTTCCAGGTTTGTATGCTGATATTATTTGTTTAATACGTTGCAATAAATTTTTGAAATTTGTAGCCCTGTAGTGTTATTATTGTAGAAACAGAATGAGTAGTGTAAATTAGAATTTATTTGTTTAAACAAATTTTCAGATATTTTTTTTAAAAAATTACTATCCGGGCAAGATGGGACAGCCAAAGTAGAATAAAAGTGTAATATAAAAATTAACTCTCCGGATTTGGTAAAAAGCATAAAAAATAAGGTAATATTAACAAAGAAAAAAATGAACTAGCAAATATAACTTGACAAATTATTTAAAAAAAATTATTAAAAAAATTTATAATTAATTTCAATATTCAGACTATATTCAGATTGCTTAGAATGAGTTCATGAAGTGTGCAGTGCTTATTCCGGTTTTATCCGCATCTTATGCAGTTACTGTGATGTTTAAGAAAGTTTTTTTGTCGATTATTCTTTAATTTTGACATTAATTTCTGTAATTTTTGAAATATAATTATGTGTCCCATCTTGCCCGGGTATCCCGGGTAAAATGGACCAATGTTCTATTTTTGTTTAAAGTTATTACTACTAAACTTTATTGTTTATTTATTTTCTGTATGAGATATGTAAGAGCAATGTTCCCACTATATGTTTACAATATAAAATATATAAAATGGCTCTAGTATACTATTTTCTAAACTAAGTTTCCTTAAGCGGTCCATCTTGCCCGATCTTCCCCTATGTAATATTTATTAAAAATCTGTGTTGAAAAGAGCTTGCATTTTAAGATGTTGTTTTATTACAAGCAAGAATACTTCTTTTCTTTTTAATAAAGATGACAATATTTTTATAGAAATATGTTTAAATATAAAGGCATTCAAAAACAAGTTGATTTTTGTATGTATGTTACAACAGCATCTTTTTAAGCTTAATCTATTAAAATATAATTACTTTTATTCATTGTAAATACGCGTATTAAGGTTTCTAAGATAAAATTTAGATCCAGATATAATTATAATTATTTTTATGTATTTTTTCAACCAAGCACTGCCATTTTTCATAACTGTTCAGTTAGAATAGCTAAATGTTATACAAACAATATTATTGTGTTTCTGAATTACCTTAAAAACAGGTGGCAGATGAATGCCCGCAGTATCGTAAGTGTTTTTCTTTTTTGTTGGTGACCTGAAGCAGGAACAGGAGGCGAATCTCTGGAGGATTAGTTGCCTGAGGTAAGGGGGCACCTCCTTTCTGCTGGGACCACGATAATGGAAATTCAGCACCACAACCGTGACTACGACAGAAATGGACGTGATGGCCATCACTACCGTCAGGTAGATGCCTATAGGAAATAGAATTATATAATAGATAACCTTATATATTCAAGTATTTTGTAAGAAAGCATAATGGATGGAATACAATTTTACCCCCTGCAATCAGTTTGCGAACTATGTAACACAAAATGGGTTATCATTACGACTATGTACTGTACCAGCTAACTATTAAATACAAAATTAGCTATTAATATCTATATTATATCATAATGACAGTGGTACCTTTCGAGTTAGTAAATTACGCATTATACTGAAATTAAACTCATGTTTGAATTTATAAACACATCAATTAAATATATTAAAAATGTCACCTACTCTAATCTAACACGTAAATTTAAAATTGTCTTAATTTAAACTTGTACACTTATATTAACTTGTGTAACATATTAAAAAATACTATTCTGAGTTAAAATTAAAGATAAAAATATTTTATTGTAATCTTCTTAAAAAATACATTAATGATAAAAAATTACAGGATGTTAATCTTTTTTTTATATTTTAAATCTCTCTAAAAGCAATTTTATTTCACTTAATTTTCACTTAGCTGTGTAATTTTTATCACGTTATAAAATAAATTTCTAAAACTTTTAGCTCTTATATTTTCTGAAAACCAAAGTTTTCTAGTATTTTCAGAATAGTATTTGCCATAGTTACAAAATTAAAAGTTGCGACATTTGGTTTAGCACATCTATGCATGCTTAAGCCATGAAAAAGGATCAAAACTAAATAGTAGGCAAAAACAATTTTTCACGAATACATATATTTTTTTAAAGTAAGTTTTAATTTGTAACAAAAGCAATTTTAAACATTTCAAAGTGACAATATTTTTTTTTAATTTGCAAAGATTTTGCTTATAATGAAAATTCTCTGATGCCTGATTTCTTAGATCTGAAACAAACAGTTGTAATATTTGGTCTGAACTAGACGGTACGTCTAAACCAATGACAAGGTTTCCCACACATCCTATAATTTTGAATCGAAATTCATAATTCATGTACAATTAATATTTTCCTCGTTAAAAATATTAAATGGTTTTACAAACAATTTACATCACTATAGTTTGCCACATGCCTCAATTTTTAAACCATTTTAAGTTTTTTGTACTTTTATTTATTAAGTACTAAGTAGGGATTTGCAGAATGTAGTGCATTTTTGTTTCGAAGATTTACTATGAATCCTAGGGAGTCGTTAAGAACTTAAGTGCAACTGTCGAATTTAGGTTCGTTTTAGTTTCTAAAAAGGATTTATTACTATACTGGCGTACTTGCACCATTCTCATATGATTAATTGGATTGGAGAAGGTAGTTATCAAGCGACAAAAAATATTTAAAAAAAATATTACTCATTTATTTTATTTTTACTTGTTTATTTTTTACGCAGGCAATTACAAAAGTAAGGTCTTTTATTTTATTAGAACTTATGAAATCAGCTTGTTTCTTTAAATCATTTTATCATTTTAAAGGTTGAAGGCGTGTATTTTTAAAAAATTGCTATACTCTAAGATTGCTATACGTAAAATTTGCAGCTATACGCAAAATATGTTACATTTCCTTAATTGCTACTTGTGGAATTTTAAGTTTTGGCCATTAATTTATGCACCTAGTTCCCTCCTTTGATAAAAAACCCAAGTTCCTGTAATTATAACTGACTTTAGTAAAATTAGTATTTATACGGTTAAAATATAAAATTTCTAACTCAATTCGGGGTTGTACGCACTATTCCAGGGTGGTTGCACTATCGGGCCACGTGCAAAATGGTCCCGGGTTTGAACCCAGCAGGTGCTATTGGAAATTCCTTTAGCACCGAAAAGTTTTGTACCTCTCGGCAGATGACATTAGTCAACAATTTCATCTCGTCTCTCGTTTTGACTTGATTTGATAAGTAAGTTACATCAAACAAAATCTTAACGTCATTAACAACGTCATGGCCCGAGCCAGAGATAACTTTTAGATGTATTACGTTAACTTAAAGTCAGGGGCAATATATTTTGAGGGGGAAAAATTAGCGTCAAACCTGTATTTTTAAGGTCACGATAGTTTTATGGGCATAAATTTAATTTTGCAGTTGGTGACTGGACCGCTATTTGCCGGCCACTAACTAGCAGTGAAATATTTTTAAATGTACTTAAGATCATTTTTTTTTAATTTATCCATTATTTTGTTGTTGTGAAAGTTAGTGTATATCATTGACCTATTCACTCTCCGCTATGCACTCCATTGCACTAATCTTTCACATCGTCTTTAAGACCAAATATCCTTTTAAATGAGAAAATAAATGGTGGTCACTGAATGCTAAATCAGGAATATAGAGAGGTAGCGTAATCATGTTCCATTAAAACAACTGAAAAGAAAAACGCAAACTGAAATGGAGCTNCGTGATGGCCATCACTACCGTCAGGTAGATGCCTATAGGAAATAGAATTATATAATAGATAACCTTATATATTCAAGTATTTTGTAAGAAAGCATAATGGATTGAATACAATTTTACCCCTTACAATCAGTTTGCGAACTATGTAACACAAAATGGGCTATTATTACGACTATGTGCTATACCAGCTAACTATGAAATATAAAATTAGCTATTAACATCTATATTATATCATAATGGTGCCAGTGGTACCTTTCAAGTTTGTAAATTACGCATTATACTGAAATTAAACTCATGTTTGAATTCATAAACACATGAAGAATTTATCAATTAAATACATTAAAAATGTCACCTACTCTAACCTAACACGTAAATTTAAAATTATTTTCAGTTAAACTTGTACACTTATATTAATTTGTGTAACATATTAAAAAATACTATTCTGAGTTAAAATTAAATATAAAAATATTCTATCGTAATCTTCTTAAAAAATACATTAATGATAAAAAATTACAGGATGTTATTCCTTTTTTAATATTTTAAATCTCTCTAAAAGCAATTTTATTTTACTAAATTTTCACTTAGTTGTGTAATTTTTATCACGTTAATATATTTAAAAGGACTTTTAGCTCTTATATTTTCTAAAAACCAAAGTTTTCTAGCATTCCCAATCAATTTTTAAACCATTTTGCATTTTTTGTAGTTTTATTTATTAATTAAGTACTAAGTAGGGATTTGCAGAATGTAGTATATTTTTGTTTTGAGGAGTTACTATGAATCCTAGGGAGTCGTTAAGAACTTAAGTGCAACTGTAGAATTTAGGTTCATTTTAGTTGCTACAAAGGATTTATTACTATACTGACGTACTTGCACTATTCTCATATGATTGATTGGATTGGAGAAGATAGTTATCAAGCGACAAAAAATATTTAAAAATATATTTCTCATTTATTTCATTTTTACTTGTTTATTTTTTACGAAGGCAATTACAAAAGTGAGGTCTTTTATTTTATTAGAATTTATGAAATCAGCTTGTTTCTTTAAATAATTTTATCATTTTAAGGTTGAAGACTTGTATTTTTCAATATTGCTTTACTCTAAGATTACTATACGTAAAATTTGCAGCTATACGCAAAATTGGTTAAATTTTCTCATTGCTACATGTGAAATTTGTAGATTTGGCCCGTTAATTTATACACTTAGCTCCCTTCCTTGAGAAAAAAGCCAAGCTCCCGTAATTGTAACGGGCTTCAGTAAAATTAGTATTTACGCGGTTAAAATGTAAAATTTTCTAACTCAATTCGGGGATGTACGCACTATTCCAGGGTGGTTGCACCATCAGGCCACGTACTAAATGGTCCCGGGTACCCCCCCCCCTTGAGAAGAAAACCAAGTTCCCGTAATTGTAACGGACTTCAGTAAAATTAGTATTAATACGGTTAATATATAAAATTTTCTAACTCATTTCAGCTATTTACGCACTATCCGAGGGTGGTTACACCATCAGGCCGCGTACAAAATGGTCCCGGGTTTGAACCCAGCAGGTACTATAGGAAATTCCTTTAGCACCGGAAAATTTTGTACTTCTCGGCAGAGGACATCAGTAAACTGTTTTGTCTCGTCTCACGTTTTGACTTGATTTGATAAGTAAGTTACATCAAACAAAATCTTAAACAACTTCATGGCCCGAGCCGAAGATAACTTTTACGCGTATTACGTTAACTTAAAGTCAGGGGCAATATATAGTGAGGGGAAAAAATTAGAGTCAGACCTGTATTTTTAAGGTCATGATAGTTTTATGGGCATAAATTTAATTTTACAGTTGGTGACTGAACCACTTTTTGCCGGCCACTAACTAGCAGTGAAGTATTTTTAAATGATATTAATATTTTAATGATATCAATATTTTATTAAATGATATTTTTTAATGATGATATAATTATTTTAAGACAAATTTTTTTATTTATCTATTTTTTTGCTGTTGCGAAAGTTAGTGTATATCATTGCCCTATCAACTCTTCGCTATGCACTCCATTGCACTAATCTTTCACACCGTCTTTAAGACCTAATATTCTCTTAAATGAGAAAATAAGTGGTGATCACTGAATGCTAAATCAGAGAGAGGTTTCGTAATAATGTTCCATTAAAACAACTGTAAAGAGAAACGCAAACTGAAATGGAGCTTGTGCAATAAACTTGAAAAATTTGTAACAGTCTCTTCAAAAAAGTAAGATTAACAGCAATTAGAAAATTTTCAGA